GGCGCAATCAGCTGAAGTTAGGAGCTGATTTCCAGACCTATTTAAGGCTTTTGTAAGTAACGCTATATTTGATATTTGGGTTCCATCTGAGTTACTTCAATCAGTGGTTGTTAATTTACTGTTCGTTAAGCATTACTCTAAAATCCTGGCATAATGTCGTCCACATATATGTTTGCTGGGATTTAATGAGTCTCAAAAGAAATTAATTGAAGGCAGACTCCTGATAAGCATTCATGTTCAAACCAAAATGGAGTGTTGTAGTTATGAGACATCATTTTACCTCGAAGTACAGGGCTGGGAAAAACACATGATTTTTGAGTGGGAAGGAAGGCATTTTTCAGTGAAATAATGACTAAACGGTTTTTGCAGATCTAAAAGCTTCCCAATGAATACTGTATCTCGACAAAGGGAGGACAAAATTGGCCCTAAACTTGAGACTTCATTGGTACATCTGGGTCTTAGGATGGACTTCCACGGGCTTGAAATTCATCCTAATTTGGGACTTTGATAATTGTGGCAAATTTTCAGATTGTTCGACTTCTGAATTAGGATCTACTTGGCCTAACGGTTCGTTAAAAGCAAAGGCTTTTAGACCGTCAACAGACAGCATTTTTCGCATTTACTTTCGTTTGCGGCGCTTACATTCACTTAGAAGTTAGGCCAGTGATATTCAGACTGCCAGAGATACTCATGTTTCTTTATGAAGGTACAGAAAAAATAATTCAGGTAGGAAAACAGCCAAAATTTTACCAGCGCAATAGAGTAGGCTAAGTTTTTTGTACTCATCAGTCTTCAGAAATTGTCGTGTTGCTTCTGATAAGGGCAATAGTTCGGCATGTTAATGTTGCTCCATTGAGCATTCACGGTTTCCTAGGGCAAATGGAACGTTCGGAGGAACTCATGATGTCCCCTTTCTGTGAACAGTTATATATGTAACTCGTTATTTCAGGAGCCATTTTGTTTTGTTGTTTAGAGTTTCACCAGAATAACACTATTCATTAGTTCCCGCTTTGTGTTTTGACTGAATCTATCGGCGTGAACTTCAGACATGCGGTTGAACTTCGTGAATTAGTGGGTCTCTAAAATTAGTGGCGAAATCGAACGTATCTAATCACGTAAAATTACTAGCTTTTTCGTTAGCGGACTATCGGGCAGTTCACAGGACTCTAATGAAAACAAGTACCTGCTGATGACTGATCACGTTCACCCCATCTCCTCTACTGTTCGTTTTTATGGCTTACTCACGTGTTTCGTTTCTATCAAGGTCATGTAAAAATTAATTCTTAGTGGGAAATGGCTTATTTCATCTTCAGTACCACGCACTGCTTCAGGGAGCAATTCTTTGAAACTTTTTTGCCGCACGACTGCACATTTTTTGCTCTCAACACTTGAAATCCTAAGAGGTTCCACGATTGGTCAGTGTTCTAATCATGGCAAGTCATTAGTAATCGTCCTTTAGTAAATCAAATTAAAAAGGACCCAATATCATCCTTCAAGCTTTCAAAGCTATTGAACCCTCGTTATCAAGAAGACAGGTGTCTGCAGTTCGTTTTCAGATGAATTATGGTAACTGGGTCGTAAGCACTGATTCTCTTCAAGGTAACAATGTGGATATCACCTCCTTCCGAAATGTAGCTAAGCGGAATGATGTGGGTTGCATCCTGATTACCATGGTTTTCTACTCAGTGCAACCTATTTTCTCAGATGGTCTTTAGTCACGTTAGTAGGAAATGAAAAACTAACTCCGAAATTGGTTTGATACACTCTCAGCAAGTAGCCTTAAAGCTGAAAGTAATTTTTCTATCATCTGAGACTTGTGTCTGTGGAGGCCATGACGCTGAAAAAATGACTTTTGAGTTACTTGACAACAAGCACATTACGCCACTGTATTCTGCTGTCCTAATCCATTACGGTTCTGCTGCCCCATGTCCAAAAGTTATGCTCTTCACTGAAGAACCCTTTCTGTATGTCACATTCGTTTTTTTAAATTTACGGTCTTAATGAATGGTTCATTTGTGGACGTTCAGACCATTACTCAATTTGAAATACATCATCTCTTGCTTGATGGACGACAGATGATAGGCTTTCCCGGGAATATCTTCTCCGTGATAGATGTCTACGTGGATATACAGAATTGGGCCACTTGTAGAGGTCCCAGAAATTAAGGCATGGCTACGCATTTCTAACGATATCATGAGCACCAGTTTTCAGTCAATCGGAAAAGGTTCGGAACCGACTGAGAAGTCATCGTTTCAGAAGAGCTTGATAAACAATCAGTAATTTTTATTTGGACAACGTTTAGGTGTGTAAGGGTTCTTTGTACAGAAGGAGCTGATCGGACAGCGGCTCAAAATGGGGTAATGAACGAACTTCGGGGTAGTGGATATCCAGCCAGCTTGATTAGGCGTCAGTTGCGAAGGGTGTTGGTACTGATAGCGAAACCCAGCAGGGAATGGATCGGGATCGCTGTTATTCCATATAAATCAGGGACATCGGAGGTCGTCCGAAGAATTCTAAACACGGCTGACATAAGAGTAGCTTTCCAGAGGGGGAACACTCTGCACTATGCACTGGTGCAATTGAAGAATCGCCTCCCGGCAAACAGAACCAGGAACTGTGTCTACAAAATCAAGCGTAATGACTGCACCAAGGTCTATATAGGACAGACGGCCAGGGAACCACACACCAAAATCGGAGAGCACAGTAGAAACGCAGATGAATATCAAGAAGTACTGAAAGACTCGGCAATTGCGAAAAACACACTGGACAAGGGACACAAAATAGATTTAGAAAATGTTGAGGTTTTGAGGCGAGGACTACGGTTTACGTCGCAGAGACTGATGGCTGAGGCGGTAGAAATCGCCAACATCCCAGTGACTGGTGCAATTGAAGAATCGCCTCCCGGCAAACAGAACCAGGAACTGTGTCTACAAAATCAAGCGTAATGACTGCACCAAGGTCTATATAGGACAGACGGCCAGGGAACCACACACCAAAATCGGAGAGCACAGTAGAAACGCAGATGAATATCAAGAAGTACTGAAAGACTCGGCAATTGCGAAAAACACACTGGACAAGGGACACAAAATAGATTTAGAAAATGTTGAGGTTTTGAGGCGAGGACTACGGTTTACGTCGCAGAGACTGATGGCTGAGGCGGTAGAAATCGCCAAGCATCCCAGTGTTAAAATAATAGAAGGCGTGGAAAAGGCGAGCGTGCAGAGAACTGTTCTATATCAGTCGAGCTAACACGTATTGGTGTGCGGTCATCAGAAGGAAGAATTCCACTTGACCTCACCCCCCCCTCAAACTAAATTGTTGGAACACTCACAACCCCATAAACACCAGGGAAAATCTACGGTTGGCAACCGAGGTGAATCCAACTGGGGCACCCTGAAGTGGAAGCTTAACGAAACAAACCCGATCAGAATTAATTTGAAACTCCCCCAATCAACCAAATCAAAATTTTGACAAACTCACCCACCGACAAGAGCCGTTAATTGACACTCAACACTGATCTAGTGTGGTATTCTGAAGAGCACCAGTCTTCTTTTTCAGTTGCATCGGGCTCCTGATTAACGCGTCGGTGGTCGCGGTCGTATGCCGAATGATTAGGATGTGCTTTTCAGGGCCAAAAATTCACAGTGTGTTCTACTTCGAGAGGAAGTGACAAGTGACTGGTGTAGATTTCGTTCTCTTACTGAAGCTGATCTGTTCTGAAAAGCCGAGAAGTACCATACAGCTATTTCATCAACTGTGTGCATCGCACGAGACTTTAGAGAATTTAGAACCCGAATCCTTCTGGCTAGTAGTTTGAACATTTAATCGTTCGTCCGCGGATCACGTTCGGTCAGGCTTTTCTCGTCGGCGACATGTTGCAAGTAGCATTACGTTCTGCTCTCTCCGAACCTACTTTGTTTTGCCAACTGCATAAGGAATCCACAAATGCATGACCCCATCATGCCAGACAGCACATAAAGCATCGTCAATTTAGGCTAGCTTTGGCCCCTGGATAAGTTTGACCCTTCACACGGTAGCAAAGGAATAGCCACTTAGTGCACTTTGTTGCGCTGTTAGATAAACGAGCCAGGCCCTCAGGTTTCTTCTTGACTAGCGTCTACCTGAGGTGTTGATGTCTGGTTTATTTCAAATAGATTCAACTTCTACGTAATGCACTACTCATAAGGTTGCTGAAAATCCGTCGGCAGCCCACGACTGGTTGGGGCTCATCGGATAGGCGCAGTCCCCGGGTTTCCGTCAACCTTGTGTTCTACTTGAAACCAAATTGCACGAAATTAGCGAATATACACTCATTTGCAAACTAATTTGGTTTTTGGGAACGACGGAATTTCAGGAACCTAATGAGCAGTACATTACAAAGATATACATGTATCGCGATATTTCAAATATCGTAGCAACTGAAATATGAGGCGGCCTGGTGCAGCACATTCAGTTGCCTGAAAACATCACAAACGAGAGATTCAGCTGGGTTCCAGGTACGTCTCTCGAAAACCGAATCAGTTTGCAAATGAGTGTATATTCGCTAAGTTCGTGCAATTTGGTTTCATGTAGAACATAAGGTTGACGGAAACCCGGGGACTGCGCCTACCTGATGAGCCCCAAGAAGGGCGAAACGAGTCGTGGGCTGTCGATGGATTTTCAGCAACCTTATGAATAATACATTCGCTAGATTCAAATTCCTTTTCGCAAAGGGTGACAAAACTTCTATTAACGTCATCGGGTTGGGTGTTTATATCTGTGCTATTTTACAGCTGCTGCTGACGGTGGAAAAGATCGACTGGATCAAGTGGTTATGAAAAGAGAGCGTTAGACATCTGTCGAGGTGTAGGATGAAAAAATTGACTGTCAATTCGATTCATCCAAACGCTTTGCTAGTTCCCAGGACAAACCATAGTTGAACGAATGTACATAATGGAAGGACAGACAGTAACTAAATGTGAAATTCATCTGAATACAAATCCAAACAGTCGATAAAAGCCATGTGTGGTGTTCACAAAGAAATGCTTCGCACGTGAGACCTGTCCTGTTTTTCGGATTTTCAAATTTGAGCGGAAAAATATATTTTATAATTTGTTATCGATTGGCTGAAGAATAATGGTAATTGGTTTGTTCGCTGAGCTGAACAATTTGATTGCAAACTTTCCAACACCAATGGAGGTGACATCGTCAGTGAGTTATTGGGGAGCGTAGTGGTGCGTAGCGATGGGCTGTTTGTGTCAGAACTAACAACATTTTCCTCTATAGAAAGAATGCTGTTTTTCTAAATTCGGCTGCCGGCGTGTATGCAGATCACACATACGTCAACGAATAGCTAGTTCACGGGGCGAAAAACACAACTGCAGTTAATATCAGATACGGGAACAAACCCTTTTGAATCAGGTGTTGGATCTGAACACCAACACTGACAGATGCGCTTGTCTGTTAAACCGTGAGTGGAACGAGCATACAAGTGCTCTAAATATAGGCTGGATCAGAATGGTAAAACACTGGTGGACAATGAAAGCTTTGGTGCAGAAGGTGTCACAGATCCCAAGTTATTGAGGCCAGAATATAAGGCTAAAACGTTCCAAATATTCCCATGGTCGGAATGTTCACACGACTTGAAAATAGTTGAAAAATGTCATAAAAAGGTGAAGATGAAAGCTGAGTTTATATCTGGAACAGTAGGGTGTTTGGCCTGTAAAGCTTCTAGGCCTAGGATGACCGACACTTAAGATCACGTTTTACTATCGACTCTACGCCTCTAGTGGCTATAACATGCCCTAAAAACTGCAGAAATAAAACGGTGGTTATGTGTATTTATATATCTATATAAACGGTTCAACGAAATCAGGCAAGGTTTTGATTGCATACATCTCAGCTGGATAATCACAGATGCAAAGCTTTTGAAAAGAGCAGTAAAAAGTAAGCTGTCTGATATTTTCAGGTTGCACAACTACTCGCTCTAGCGACTGATTGATTTTCAGCCCAGGAAAGTTCAAACTGATACGCATGCAAACCGCAAGTCAATATCTCACGTCCGTACGCCCTAGGGTATTTTCAAATGACAGCGATTCTCCAGTCCAGATGGATACCACCCAAATGATCTCTCATTAATTTACAAGCGTTTTGCGGGTAAGACATTTCCGAGGGACTCGCTTTTCTGTATGCTGCATCTTGACACTTTTGCGCTTTAGGCTATTTTGAAGCAGAATTACCTTGGCTGGTTGCGAACCTTACTTAGGTTTGATTCAAATGGAAATTATATGCTAGACACCTACTACTCAGGTGGATGTTCGTGAGATGGCTAGTTGTACGGGTCTGGGTTTCATTAGAAGAACAATTTGTTAGACCTAGCGTTTGATAGAGAAATCAGTGTGTTGGTTTTAACGGTCAACAAAGAAACGAGTGTAGCTCAGCTATCACTCACAAACGGCTGGCAAGATTGCTGAATGATGACCGCGACCTCACCTTTCGAATAAACGGAGGAGCATTCGAACAGAATAGAATAAGTTTCACATGTCACATCTTTTAAAATCCTTCCGGTTAGAACAGAAAGTGAGCCTGACTTGTCAGGACTTGGAAAGAATAAACGGAATAGGGACAAAATGTACACTGGTGTGAAAAGGTTTTCACTGAGTAGGTCATTTGGACGGACGCCTAGAAACAACTCTTTGGTGGACAGACGGAGGATGGAGTTCTAACTTCTCGACACCCGAAATCACATACCTGAGCTAGTCCTAAAGTAAGCTTGAAATGTAGCTTTTCTTTGGGAAGACAACAAGACAACACCTGAGAGAAATGACCAAAGCACGGTCGCTCACACAGGCATTAGTGCTTTTGAGCAATGACGGGCCCTAGTTTACCAAAAGTGAGTCATTTGGGTATATTTTTATTCCCCCTTGCCTGAAAATCCACGGTTGTGTGGATCGGCACATTTATTAGTAGAAACTTACACTTTCCAACCTGATTTAGTGCTATAAGTTCATTCTGTCTTCATTTCGTCACTCCCTCGAAGAGTCATAATCCAGATGGCAATATCGGCAGCTACGTGAAACGCAAGAACATTGGAGTATTGAAATACTCGCAGGTACGTGTACCAGTGGTGCGCTGATAGACGATCGCAAATGACACCTCAGTGACGCCGAAGCATTTGGAACTACCGACTGGGTGGAAGCTACAAGTCTGTACTTACTCGCACATCGGTATTATTACGACGGCATCAGGAGCTGAAGTGCATCATCGCATTCATGTTCTCGCACCCTGGTGGTGATCGACCACCTATGCACAGACCACCAAAAGTTCGATCAGGTGCAGGGGCCTGTGGAATAAAATCACGATCTTCACTCGTATGTGCGGAAACCCTGGTAGTCCATTTGTTATCGACTGTCCAATCCACATCGCAAATTAAAAACTGGACTCTGATCCGAAAAAATCACGGCATCCCTGAGTTTTCAAGTTGTGTTCTGGTGACCGTACAGACGTTTCGTTTTCGGTCTCGGCGCATACAGCGCTTTTATCAAGTACCACTTTTTCTTCGTGTCATACCACTCAGCTAAAACAGAAGAACTGAACGCTTTGCAGTTAACGTAAACGTATCTCCCTGTTAGATTTTTTGGCCGTTCATGAAAGGGGTATATGTTGAGGGTACTGTCATCCAGTCAGTAGCTCGTCCTCTGTAAGTTTCACTTTGAACTGGTATCCAGAATGACCAACTTTGTAATTTAACACATAAGAACAGCAGTCTGGTGGGATGGCTTTAGCATGACCGATCTGATTCCCAATTAAGAAATGCAAATAAACGGTGAAGGCAGACTATCACCATCATCATCATCATCGACAGCACAACACCAGTTTTCAACATTGGTGTTAAACACTGCATGGGAAACCAATCAGATACAAAATCGTTATCGATCTACACTGCGATTATTTAATCGAAGCGGATGCGTATAAGTTTTTTGAACTAGCTAGTTCACCTATTAATAAAGTCGGCTTTTTTCGAACACGATCGATCACGGACAGCGCTATCCGCGCTGTTTCACTCACTTCTGGTCAGCCTGAGACCATTGAAGATTGTTGACTGACCGAAAGTGTAAACAATTCATGGTGCTTAAAAATGGCTCTACAAGCACCTAGCAATCGTATGATAAAAATCCTTGACCATCATTTAAGTTGTTTGCTCCAGCCTGTCAGTCTGACTGGTCAACTTTGACTGTTTTCATCTATACGTGAGTGGGTACTAACTTCAAGGTACCTCCTGTTTTCAAGTTCCGATTTAAATTTGAACAGCTCGCGAGACTAGCATTTCCCACTAAATTTAGAAGAAATGATTGATTTTGAAATGAAACCCAATCCTGTTCGGGTAAAGTCTTGAATAAATTGCACTGGTGCATCGTCTGAAGGTGACACCTAAATGCGAGCGAATAGGTTCTGATTATCAGCAGATAGAGCCTTGAGCGTTCGACTATATGTGGGTAGTCGGTTTTTCGAGCATAATCTTAATCTAAGAACATTAGAAGTGCACCTGCATACTGACACAGCTTCTAAAAATTCCAGGGCACAGACTTGAACACACCCGCGCAATCTTTAGAAATACCGGTTTTCCTAACCCCATAGATGTACTGATAACTGGCTGACAAGGACAATGGTTAAAATTTATCCAATCAAGAGTCTAATTCGTGAAAGTACGAAAGTTAGTCAAAATACCAACCGTTACACCTGGGTCAACGCTTATGTTTCCAGAACCCAAAGCTAAGCAAGTCAGCCGTACACAGTTGGTTCGAGCGGAACGAACACAAAGCCCGTTCACATTTTACAGCACAATAACTGGACGTGTACAGTGTCAGGCAGGAGTAAAAAAGGGTCCAAAATTGTGTGTTACCTGAGAGAATCTCAGACATTTCTGTCGACAGGCAGTTCGTTCTTGCACGCCGTAATTTCGATTAGCCTGATCATAAACACCAGCAGCCGAAATGGACCTGGAAGAAAATAAATAAAAATACGTCGAATAACGCATACTTTCGCATGATATCCAAGGCCAGTGGACAAAAAATTACTACTTTTCGAGAAATACACTCATTTGAAAATCAATTTGGTTTTCGCGAGAGATTCAGCTGAACCTCTTGATTATGATATTCGTCAACTCAATGTGCTGCACACAGGCCGCCTCATGTTTCAGTTGACACGATATTCGAAATCTCACAGTATAGTTTCATAGGAGAAATAGAGAAAAGAATATCACAAACGAGAGATTCAGCTGAGTCTCCCGTGAAAACCAAATTAATTTGCAAATGAGTGTATTCCTCGAAAACAGTCCAATCCGGGTTCAAGTTGAACATAAGGGGGACTCGGGGACTGCGCTTACCTGATGAGCCCCAAGAAGGGTGAAACCGGTCGTGGGCTGTCGGAGAGTTTCCAGCAACCTTGTGAGCAATTTCCTTCATGAAAATGTTTACTTGTTGTCAAAGATTCTTCGAGTAGATTTTCTTGTTCTATTGTCAGGTTGAATAGGTCTGTCAATTAAGTGCAGGAATAGTAGCGATGATGAGCCAATCTAGACTGAAAAGCCAACAAGCACTGTACAACGTTTTTATGCTTATCGGGAATTATCGAAAATTGTGCATCTCACGGAACTCAAGGTAGCTCCCAACCCTTCTGGCTACGAGTAACTGATCTTCACTTTGATTAGCTAGTACGCACGCTACCAAGAATTTATAAATAGCTAAGAGGACGGCCAACTTCACAGGATGAGTGAAGCTTCCATCTGATAATTTGGCACTCGAGAAGCCAGTATACAGGTCATCACGTGAAGCACATTGCGTGATTGATTGGTGAGCAGTGCTATCGCCCCTGAGTGCGATTTAGTCACGCTGCTCGTGGCCGAACGGTTAAACGTTCGGACTACTAGGCGGGTTATCACTTATATTCGTAATGCACCACTCATAAGGTAGCTGAAAATTCGCCGATAGCCCATGACCGGTTTCGCCCTTGTTCGGGCTAATCAGATAGGCGCAGTCCCCGAGTTTCCGTCAACCCTATGTCCCACTTGAACCCAAATCGCACAAAATTAGCGAACTACACTCATTTGCAAACAAATTTGGTTTTGCGAGACTCAACCGCAACCCAACTGAACCTCTCGTTTGTGACGTTTTCAGGCAACTGAATGTGATGCATCAGGCCACTTTATGTTTCGGTCGCTACGACATTCGAGATGTCGTGATACATTACAAACTAGAGATTCAGCTGTATTCCAAATTTATGAGTGTATTTCCGGTTATCACTTATTTCGGGATGTGCGTATCGCTGATTCACCGTGCCTGTCGCTTTTCAACATAGATTGGCTTTACTTACATGATGGAAGCTCTATTGGTTAAATATTTGTTTAAATTGGACACAGCAGTGACGCAAAATATTTAGGTTTCCACGTAATGTACTCATTTGCACGCCCATCGGGCTTCAATAGGAGACTCAGGTGAACCCCCAGCTGAGTCTGTTTCGCTTTGAAAAATAACCAAGTGATTGAGATAAGCAAGCTCACTGCTTAGCCACGTTAAAACAAATTATTTTGGTTCAAATTCTATACGCCTACCTTAGTTCCAACACATTTTCAACGATCAACTATTCCAAATATACAAATGAACACACGATCAGTAAGCGCTGACAGACTGACTTTTTCTGATTACTTTATCGCAAGAGGATTTAGCAACAAACTGATTTATTGTCAAACCAGTGCAACAAGGTCCAGCACTGGGCGTTGAGCGCGATAATGTTAGGTAGGCATCTCCTTAAAAATCGGGGCCGGTGTGCCACTGGTATGGCATGTTCTGAGCTCCGTATTGGCCGTGTGTCCTTTCCATTTGTTTAAGTACAATTTTAATCGAAATTAGGATATTTCCCGCCTCGAAGTATTTTCTTCAACTGGGTTCACTATTGCTACGAGCTTCGGGGCGACTATTTTGTCGATCTCCTATACCCGCAGTTCGTGCAGTGTCGTGCAACGTGCTTTCGTAATTGTTCGATTGCGATGAACGGGGTGAATGCAGGAATCTGCAAGGCTCGGGCCGCGTTTGCTAATTCACACACCTATGGCGTCAGAATGGTTTATCCCTGAATCTGAAGGGACGTGTGTATCAAGCTACAGTACGGGCTGT